TAGATCTTTCTTTCAGTATCTTTTTCTTTCTTTCTTTTTTATATTTGAACCATATTTCCATTCATTCATTCATTCATTTATTTTTTCTTTTTTCCTTCTTAATTTGGGTATGTTTTAATTTATTCACAAATCTATTTACTATCTGATAATTTCCTTTCTCCTACCTTCCTTCTTCCTTCATTACATTCTTTCTTTTTTGTACTCTTTATTCTTTGGTTCTTTATTTTCTCCTGTTTTCTGTTTGTTTATTTATTTCAACAAAGTTTAAGTTTCGAACATGGCCAAAATGACGTGTCAAAAAAGAAAAAAAACATGAAAGAAAGAAACGAAATAAATAAAGAATGAATGCATGGTCATAAGGGATATGGGTCAAAAGAAAGAAAGAAAGAAAGAAAGAAAGAAAGAAAGAAAGAAAGAAAGAAAGAAAGAAAGAAAGAAACGAAATAAATAAAGAATGAATGCATGGTCATAAGGGATATGGGTCAAAAGAAAAAGAAAGAAAGAAAGAAAGAAAGAAAGAAAGAAAGAAGGAAAGAAAGAAAGAAACGAAATAAATAAAGAATGAATGCATGGTCATAAGGGATATGGGTCAAAAGAAAGAAAGAAAGAAAGAAAGAAAGAAAGAAAGAAAGGAAAAAGAAAGAAAGAAAGAAACGAAATAAATAAAGAATGAATGCATGGTCATAAGGGATATGGGTGAAAAGAAAGAAAGAAAGAAAGAAAGAAAGAAAGAAAGAAAGAAAGAAACGAAATAAATAAAGAATGAATGCATGGTCATAAGGGATATGGGTCAAAAAAGAAAGAAAGAAAGAAAGAAAGAAAAAAAAAGAAAGAAAAAACGAAAAAAGAAAGAAATGGTCATAAGGGAATGGGTGAAAAGAAAGAAAGAAAGAAAGAAAGAAAGAAAGAAAGAAAGAAAGAAAGAAAGAAAGAAAGAAAGAAAGAAATAAATAAAGAATGAATGCATGGTCATAAGGGATATGGGTCAAAAAGAAAGAAAGAAAGAAAGAAAGAAAGAAAGAAAGAAAGAAAGAAAGAAAGAAACGAAATAAATAAAGAATGAATGCATGGTCATAAGGGATATGGGTCAAAAGAAAGAAAGAAAGAAAGAAAGAAAGAAAGAAACGAAAGAAAGAAACGAAATAAATAAAGAATGAATGCATGGTCATAAGGGATATGGGTTAAAAGAAAGAAAGAAAGAAAGAAAGAAAGAAAGAAAGCAAGAAAGAGAGAATGAAAGAGGATTTTCTCTTGAAACCCCATTTACTTTATACACCTTCGGCAGTGTTTATTCTTTTAAAAACCTTAGAATTTTAATAAGAACAAAAATGTTATGCATTATTTAGTGGTTAGATTATTTATTTACAAAAATAATTTTATATTTACCAGATTGTAAAATATGTGAAGCAACTAGAACGAAATATCTATGAATGTTTTTACTTATAAATTTATAAAAGTTTACAAAATTATGAAAAAATATGTAAACCAAATATAATGAAATAATTATTATTTACCACTTTATAAAAAATAGTATTTATCATTTTATGAAGAAATAATCTTGAAAAGAGTCTTTTTTTCCCTAATTCGTAAAATTATAGAACTTTTTGAAATATTTAAATAAGCACATAATGATGATTAACTGTAATTATAAGTTTTCAAAAATGCATTTCCAGGCATTTTTTCATTTGGCTTCAGCACATAAAGTTCACTAAACTTGTTTTAAAGCATATAGTCTTCTAAATCAAGCATTGTTTTAATTGTAGATTTTGGGCAAGACCATAAACATTCAGCATTTTGAGTGAGCATCTCTCAATTGATTGGGTGGACTAGGTTTTTGTTGTGGTACGATCCACCTAATTTACATAGTGGAGTAACGACCGATATAAATATGGGTTGGTACCAGAAGACGAGGGAGAAGGAAGAAGAGATCCAATCGAGAGACTCTGCCCGACTGCGATTAAGTCACCCCATTCTGCAGGAACCGTCTTCCCAAGAATATACCAAAACTAACTGTAAATATTGTGTACCTTTTCCTTGTTCAATACATTTTGTTTACGTACATTTTGTGTTGTATTATTCTTATTCCATGCTTATCCAAGCTTCAACAGTTTTATTTGTGGATAATTAAAATATGTCTGGAAGTTGTATGGTATATTCAGACAGCAAGAATTCATAAAAAAAATTGGTTTTGATTTTTAAATTCTAGATGTTATTATTCTACAATACAAACGACTCCTATGTAATAAAATATTTCTCATCATAGCAGATGGTATCTTAAAATGTATATAAAATAGTTTAATATGCATGTAAAGGACTCATTTACATATAGAATATAATATCGTACAAAGGGCTTACGCCATTTTAAAGTATTGTAAATTTCTAATAACTGCTAGCTTATAACATCTACAGGTGAAACATTGTCGAATTTTCAAACCTAATTATCATATTCTTACAGCAAGGTACGTTGATGATGCGAGGTGACTCTGAAGAAAGGTAAAATTCTTGAGGTCACTTCTCTTGAAGTAATTCCAATGCTGTATTTTAAAACAAAAAAATGTATATCATAAAAATGTATTATATAATATTGATTTAAAGAAATTAAAGCACATTGTGAATGGCTCGTGCGGTTACCTGTAGCTTGTTTCTGTGGGCCTGGGATGGGATGAGTACAAATCTTTCACCATCTTTATAAGTACTAGAGACCATTTCCTGTGGCTGGTCTCCCACAACACATGGATTCTTCTGAGGAACGGTACTCATTATTTCTGCCAACATTTGATCCATGATTCCAATCAGGAATCTAATTGGGTCATTTTTTTTAATGCTATTACACATTCATCACTCAATCTCTGTTTTGTTGGATGCAATCTGTGAAATGATGCGCTCTATAATTCTGAAATATCTCATTTTCATCCAAGTCTAGTATCAGATGTTCCTTCACCAACAGGATGGATTTAGTACTATTCGAGCTTTGGTCGATTTTAACCAATTTTCAAAACCCTCCTTTTTACATGCAATCCTACAGCATCAGACTTCTACCCACAAAAGTTCAATTGATTTCATTATACAAGTTCGCTTTCCTGTTGGCCTTCTGACAAATTTCTGCTTATTTGAATGCGGCTCCATCTTCGTTTTATCGGTGTATGTGATCTTATCCAAAGCATCTGCATCCCACAGTTCATACACTTTGACCAACTTAATGTTGCCTTTTCTGTTTAAAGCTGCTTTCTTCGTTGAAACGAATCTTATCAGTTACTGTTCTTGATGGATGCATTTAGTGTTATCTACTGACACCAAATTTAACAAAAGGCTCTCATTCATCACTTACCTATCAGTCTTCAGTTACAGAGGTTTTGCTTTCCTGGTCATTCTCTGTTTTATAATATGATGCAGCTTTCTTAGACGACCATAGCCTGGTCAATTCAAAACACTTCAAGGGCTTTGGGAATTCGTGAAGATTTCTGAAATGCCGCTTCTTGACATTCAAAGCTTTTTTAGCGATTGCTGTCTGGTGCAATTCTTGACCATATTCTTTGTTTCTCTCGATATTTTCCAGAGTATTTCCAGTTATGAAAGAATGAAAGGAACCGATGACAGAATTTACCCTATATGTAGAATTTCTCCTGTTCCGAAAAATATTTCCCTTTAGCGGTGCGACAGTACTAAGAAAACCAAAATGGTCAGCTGAAGAATTTAGCACGGCTGTTTTTAGGTGTTTTCTTCACATTTTTTTCCTCATCCAGAATCTTTGCTAACAAATACGATAATTAGATGTGAAAATGATTCCAACATGTCTTGCATCTAATCTGTAGACAGCACGATATAAAAAAACAAAAAAAACTCTCAGATAACATGACAATTATTTGAACTTTACAATAGATTAAAATATCCAAAAACTTTTGGCCGGTACTGTACTTTCTTCTCCAAACTCTGTAAATCGTCTCATCTCTCCACATATATATATATATATATATATATATATATATATATATATATATATATATATATATATATATATATATATATTCCCCATAGCTGATTGTGCATTTTGAAATGTGTATCAAAAAGTGTGCACTTATAGATATTCGATACAATATATTCCGATTCAGCGTTACAAATGACACCACTTTGAAATGATTCCAACTCTAATTCGAACAATCCAAGAGCGTTATATATTACATGGATAAATTTTGATTACCATACTGAAAACATCTGTACATGATTTTACAAGTATTTGAACATAAGAAAATGTATTCATAATTTCAAACCCAACAGACAACGCATTCAGGAAATGGATATATATAAAAAAAAGTTGAATTCCCAGACTTTGTGGAATTTAAGAAAACTTATTTGAATGAACTTTTGCTTACCAAACACAGCTTTCATATATATATATATATATATATATATATATATATATATATATATATATATATACGCACATATAGGGTATGTAATTCCGAGTTGTGTTACTGGTGAGGGATAATATGTAATTCATATATATATATATATATATATATATATATATATACATATACATGCACATATGTATGTATGCATATATATATATATATATATATATATATGAGAGAGAAATAAAGAGAGAATGAGATAGATAGATAGATAGATAGATAGATAGATAGATAGTAAAATCCGATCAACACAGTTGAAGTAGGTACCACAGATGAGTTGTGTGGGCGTTGAACAAACACATATGTGCTTGAGCATGCGTCTACAACAGGGATTGGATACCTGCCGTAGTAGACGGGTGTACTGTTAAACGAGTAGCAGGCCACTCTATATATATATATATATGTGTGTGTTTGTGTGTCTGTGTGTGTGCGCGTAGATAAAAATACTAAAATAATATTAATCAGACGTGCAGAGTTTTTAGTTTCTATATTTTTCCTACCTTTTTTTTCGAAATCTTTTTTTCTTGGCAAAAGTCATTCATTATAATTGGACAGAGAAGTCATATTCAACTAACGGCTACGTGGGCCATGCAGCGCTGGGTTCATTCACGAGGTAACTATTTCCTGTGTGGGAGTTTTGCTCAAGGTAAGCATTAAGGAAAAAAAAAACAGTAATGGAAGAGAGACACTTTTAGTGATGACGGCTTTTCTTTTTTCTCCACCTGGGAAAATAATTACTTTTAGTTAAACACCTGGTGACGGAAAATAAAAGACAAGCCTAATAATACCCGCGCCGATTACTATCCACATTTGATGGATCGCTTTTTGAAAATTGCCTCAATCATTTTCTCGCGTCTTCATTAAGAGTCCAGGTAGATATTTATTTGTGCCTATTTTTTTGTTTTTAGCCATTTGGACATACATTTCAGCGACCCGCCTTTGTGTTTCTTTTGTGCTTTTTTCTTTCTATATTTCGCTCAAATGTTTTCTGTTTTGTTTTCTTTCTTTTTTCATATTGACATTTTCTAATGTTAATGCTGTCATAAGGATTATTTTCTTTTCTCTTTCTTTCTTCCTTCATAATCGTTTTTCTCTTCTTCCTTTCTTGCTTTCCGTTCAGCAATTTTAACCCATTCTTTTTCATGTTTCCTGTTGCCATGTCTAATCTTATATAATCATTGCTTTTCTTGTGAATACTAACGTCATTTAATTATTTATATACTTTTCCATCATTTCTTTTCTTTATTTCTATTCTTTTCTTTTACTGTTTTTCTCTCTTTTATTGCCTGACCGCTTCTTTTACATTCTTTCTTCCTTTCTTTTTTTTTTATTATATTTTACCGTTTTTCCTTCCTTCTTCCTTCCTCTTTTTGGCTGATCACTTTCGTTCTTTCTTCCTTCCTTTCTGATCACTTGTCTTCCTTATTTCTTTCCTTCTTTCTTTCTTTCCGTCTGACCCTCTTTGTCTTTAACTTACAGTTTTCTTTACCTTCTTTCTTTTTTTTCTAAGTGTTTTCTTTCGTTAGACAGTTTTTCTTTTTTGTTTGTTTGTTTGTTTCTTTCTTTCTTTCTATCATTCTTTCTTTCTTTCTTTCTTTCTTTCTTTGTCACCACTTTCTATCTTTTTTCCTTTATTTTATCTTACTGTTTCCCCGCCTTCCTTCTTTCTTTTGTCTAACCGTTTTGTTTTTGTCATTCTTTCTTTCATCCTAACTGTCTTTCTTTTTTCTTATTGTGTGTCCGTTTTCTTTCCTTGTTTTTTTTTCTTTTTGTGTCCATTTTCATACTTTCTTTTACTTTATCTGACTTTTTTCCCTGCCTTTCTTCTTTCCTTCTTTCTTTCTGTCTGGCCATTTTCTTTCTTTCTTTCTTTCTTTCTTTCTTTCTTTTTTGACCATCATTTTATTCTTTCTTTCTTTTTGTCTAACTGTTATCCTTCTTTCCACCTTTTATGCTATGATCACAACAAAGAGCCTTATTAAATATTAGCGAAGCTTCGAGGCTTAGCATTTTCATCCATTTTCTCTCTGCAGATGTGTTTATTATCTACAAACATTTGGATTTTACTTTGCCACTTCTTTATTTCTCGGCCTAAATTCTAGGATAAAGCTAGTAAATGATATTGGAATGTATGAAAATATTTTCGCTTTTTAGTCAAAGAACCGATCGACATTTTGAAGGTGACGCAATGCTTTGGCAAAATGATTTAGAAGACGCTTGCACATTTTTACCGTGTCGTTGCTTGCCTTCACCTCTATCCTGCATTACCAAACAAGGTCACACAAAATACGACCAGAGGGAAAACTCAAACTGGCCCGTGAGACGTTTTCAAAATAATGAAATTTTTGTATTCATCAGAATATTTTTTTTTCTTTTTAAGAAGCATGCCATTATTCAAGCAATATTTCATTGCCTTTGTATTTTTAGGAGAATCAATGACAAAGCGGGAAAAAATTCGTGTGCACCGTTTATCCTTTAGGATTTTATCGAAATACAGTGATGTGTACGCTGATCGGATTAGACATGCTCATAAATGAGAGACGGCGCTCAAATTTTAATTTTAAATTTAATTTTTTTTATAGATTTTTTTTTATAGCAGTAGAGCCCGGCGTTGCCCGGGGATGTAACAGTAAGAGATAGATCAAGTATCGACCATCATAAAGACTGAAAAGTAAAATTGACAAAGATTATTGTTTAAGGTTGACGGACACGCATGACTTAATTAGTTTTTTTTATGTTTTTTGTTTTTTTTTTACGAATTGGTCAAACTCAAACTCAAAGAAGAACATTGTTTTCAATCGTTATGAGTCTACCGATTGAAAAGAATTTTTCAATTTTATTATAAACAATTGTCTTATAAATGCAATTTTTAAAGCATTCTGAATATAAAAATAAAGAAAAAAGTCCCGCAAGACAATAAGAAACACTACCTGCCAAAAAAAAGTGAAGTTTTGCTGAAATCGGTTGAAAAATGTAGGAAATCCGATCCCATATATAAACGAACACACACACACACACACACACACACACACACACACACACACACACACACACACACACACACAAATAAACAACCTGGGTTTTATAATAAGTATAACTCGATATGTATTGTACCCCTGTCATTCTCGCGACAGTGATGCCTCTTAATCGTGTTTTCAAATTGAATTTAGCAAAAATAATCGTGTATTTTCAATTTTTGGCGCTGTCAGAACCATCGCAAGGTAATTTTACGTAGTCCTGTGAAGTTTTATTGAAATCGGTTGAAAAATGCAGGAAATCCGATCCAATATATAAACAAACAGACAGACACACACACACACACACACACACACACACACACACACACACACACACACACACACACAACCTGGGTTTTATAATAAGTATGATGTTTAGGTTATATGCCCTAGTCGATATTTTTAGTTTCTTTTTGTTTACCTTTTGACCTCTTTTGTTACGAAATGTCCCTCTTTTGTTATGAAATGTTCCAAGAAAGATGAAATATTGTAAGAACTCTGACATAAATATACCGTGGATGATCTAGCGATTAAATCAGTTTCTATAGATCTTCACCTTAGGAAATTGCTTTCTTCTTTTAAGTAAAGTAGAATTTTTTAAAATAAAAATTATGATCAGATTCAATACGGTGAGCAACTAATGCACATTGAGTATGTGGTTGGGTAAAAGATCTCTATCCATCTCTCTCTATATATATATCGGATGCGATTGCCCTTTCTCTATATATCTCTTTCTATCTATCTCTCTCATATATATATATATATATATATATATATATATATATATATATATACACACATACATGTGTCTATAGCCCTCACTCTATAAATCTCTTTCTGTATCACGCTCTATCTATATATATGTTTCGATCAACCGCTCGCTCTTTGTATGTTTATCTCACTCTATATAAATATAGGAGGCACGGTGAAGTAATGTATAGCAGCACGGATTGAGGAATCTGAGAGTCGAGTTCGAATTCCAGTCGAAACCATTACATTCACTTTCTTGCTAATGTCCTTAGGAAAGGTATGAATCCTTTTCTTCTATTTATGGTTAAATAGCAGGACAGATAGGGGATCTATAGCCTTGGATGGAAACTGGTCTACCGCAGAAAGGACAGACAACCTACAACCTAAAAAATCTGCCTCGTCAATCATGTATTGAAAAATACATGATCGCCTAGGCGTGTATCACTCATGGCACATAACTATATATATATATATATATATATATATATATATATATATATATATACGTGTGTGTGTGTGTGCGCGCGCGTGCGTGTCACACTCTTTCTCTTTCGCTCTCTCTATATATTTAATACACACTCTCTTTGTTTCTATCTCACCCTATCTCTCTACAAACGCACCCATGTATATATATATATATATATGTGTGTGTGTGTGTGTGTGTGTGTGTGTGTGTGTGTGTGTGTGTAAAAGTGTATATAAATATAAATAAATATAAATATATATTTAATTATTTATATATTAGATGCGCGGTACTTATTAGAAAGCGCTCAGTATCAGAGATAGAGCTAACATATTTGGTTGGAAAACCCAGAGTGGAAAGCGTGAAACGCAGGATCACAAACTCGCATCTATCCAACTAAATATATATATATATATATATATATATATATATATTTATTTTTATAACTTTCTCTCTCACACACACACACACACACACACATGTATATATATATATATATATATATATATATATATATATATATATATATATATATATATATTCTGTTGTGTGCATATGGGTTTGATGATCGCTAAAGCATGAAACATAGGGTCACAAACTCATATCTATGCAACAGAATATGTTAGCTCTATCGCTTATATTGAGTACATTCCACTAAGTACTGCACATACAAAAAATAATAATATATATATATATATATATATATATATATATATATATATATATATATATATATATATATATATGTGTGTGTGTGTGTGTGTGTGTTTTTCTCCCTCTCTCTTTCGCTTTCGGTATCCTCTATCTCTCTCTCTCTCTCTATATATATATATATATATATATATATATATATATATATATATATATATATATATATATATATATATTGAGCTCCCTCTATATATGTGTTCATATCACCTTCTATCTCCCTTTCTATATATCTGTTTCGCTCACTCTCTCTATATGTGTTTATATCTTCCGCTCTCTCTATATCTATCGATATCACACTGACACTGAAATGCTATTCAGTGGTTTCATAGAGGAGATTTGAAACAAATTTCACACTGTGAAGAAACCATTCAAAGATCTCGCGTAAATGACAAAAATCGGAACCCCTGAAACCAGCATTCCCCTTTATCACTGTTTGAAGGAGAAGCCTCTGTAGGAGAGGTTGAGAGAATCTAATTCAATATTTTGATGGTAGTCGTCGTAAGGACCCAAGACTGAAAAAGATGTCATCCAAACCTCGCTCCTTTTTGGTTGAATTATAAGAAATATTATTCAAATATTAAATATCAGAATATTCAAAATAATAACATATAACCAAGGATAAAAACGAAGAAAGCACGTGACAAATTATAAAAAATTAATGTAAAATTTTCTTACCCTATAAAATAATGTCGGCCCTTCCTTAAGGATTTGCATAAAATGATACACAATATTTGTTACTGATTACTTCACAATGATTTATTCTGCTTTAAATTATCATAAATGACAACTGATTGTCGCCAAAATCTTGGTTTAATATCAAGCGATAGTTCGCCACCCTGGAAATATTTAAATCCTTTTGGGGTAGTACAACCAGACATTGTGTTTCCTCTACCAATTTACATACACTTGAGGCCATCCAACAAGACAACACTGTCGTTGAAAAAACGGCGTCTCCTTATCGTCGTGGCTCTTCCTCGTGACAATAATATTAAAGTCAAATGAATTTACAAGCTCGAGAAATATAACCTACCCCCGGATTAAAGTTGCCTGAATATGGGATGTTCAAGCCACTCTTTTTCGACTTATAATTGGACGTCTACATTGAGAAAACCAAAACAAAACCTAATATCCCATCGTTTCAGAACTTGGCGTTGCCAGCCTGTACAAAAATATTCTGCGAAGGATATCTCTACGGCTTCATGGAGAGCATCCATAATTCAAGCTATAATAATAATAATAATAATAATAATAGTTTTTTCCAAAAACATCCTCACTTGAAAATGTCATGGTGCCATTCCTGACATTAAGTCTCTGGTTGGGACCCGGAAAAATGAGTATAGACAAGATATCAAAGAAATTAGTATACTACTACTACTACTAATAATAAATAATAATAACAGTAAGAAGAAGAAGACGATGAAGAAGAAGAAAAAGAAGAGACTTTTGACAGTGTGTCCGTCTTCAAGTTATGTTTTAGAAATTGTATACAAGTATAAAAAATACAAGTATAAAAAATACAATTCTACGTACAAACATCGCTTGTCTTGAGAAAAATGTTTGTACCAGTAATCAAAACGACATGGCGAATAAAACGCAGCCATCTTGAATAAATAGTAATTTACATTCTCCTCTTGAAATCTTCCGTCAGTTGATTAATTAATCGGAACAATTAATCAAATAGCATAGTATAAAACTTATTTAAGTTAAGGTACACATTCTACAAAAATATCCACAATCCACCTTTCACCTTTTTAAAAGACTGAAGAGTGATATCCAGGGGCCATAGTTGCCACGAGATATTTCTTGCTATGTATGTTCCTGATAGAATTACTGATTCCTTGTTTAATAAAAAAAATCGGATCTGGGAGTAACAAACACGAGTAGCTAAGTTATTTTATATTGTTTTATTTTATAATCATTGTTTTACGTTTTATTTAAGCAGTACATTGGCTGTACACTTGTACTGCAAATTTATAAAAGTGAATAGTTACTATGATGATGATTGTGGTAACATTGCTTTTTTCCGTATAAAGAAACATCC